TAAGGTGACGAGCAGGGGGCCGAACCAGAGCAGCGCCAACGGTCCAGGGCCATGCCTCCGTGGCGCGATCAATGCGCGAACAAGGAACGCAAGGAGACCGTTTTCCGCGCTCCCTGTTCGGGGTAGGGCTGGCGACGACAGCAATTCTCTCTCCCCTTGGCCCCTACGGGCAAACAAGGGTGACGATCGGGCTGCTACCCGCCTGTTTTCCTGGGAAGGGGACCCAGTGGCACAGGTGCCATGGTGGAGAGAGGCTGGAGGAGGAGGAAGAGGAGGAGGATGAGAGAGTAGAAAGGAGCAGGAGCAGGAGCAAGAGGAGGAGGAGGAGGAGGAGGAGGAGGAGGAGGAGGAGGAGGAGGAGGAGGAGGAGGAGGAGGAGGAGGAGGAAGGCCGGAGGAGCGAGGAAGAGGAGGAGAAGGAGGAGGAGAAGGAAAAGGAGGAGGAGAAGGAGGAGGAGGGAGGCGGGAGGAGGGATAAGGGAGGAGGAGGACTGAGGAGAGAGGAGGGAAGCCGAGGTGGAGGGGTGGGCGCTCTCTCAATGCCCGATTCTCTATTCCTCGGAAAAGGGCTGGGCACGACGACGAGCAGCAGCGGACGCGGGCTGGCCGGCCGCCTCGACGAAGTCGGGGGGCATCTTGCCGAGCAGCTCGCCCGTCTGCTCCTTTGGGTGGCAACGATCGGGGGGGACTCGCAGAGGGGTGGAAATATCGCCCTGGAGTCGGTGATACATCGCTGATGGATCGGCGATAGTCGGGGGCGCGCAAGCACGGATCAGCGATCCATGGATTTGGCGAGCGGTCGCCAAATCCATGGATCGGGGGAGGTGCCCGGCCGGTGCCGCCTCGCTCGGCGGCGGAAATCCGCGATGTCCCATTATAACGGGCCCCGTCGCTCATCCACGCCCCCTGGATCCCAGTTTGCGATCCCCTGACGAGAGGCCCCCGATCGCAAATCAGCACATTCCTGAGCGGGGCGGGGCGAGGCTCTCAGACCCGCATCGGCGATCAATTCGGCGGTGGATCAACCTCCCTTGAAGAAACCTTCCTTGAGTGAAAACGGCCTAGGACCGAAAACGACGGACCTGGACCCGCAAAAATGACGACGGCCGCGACGCCCTCTCGCGAACCCAAGACGGCCAATTCGCCAATCGACGTGTCAGGGTAGGAGATCTATCAACCTCCGAACATTACTAGGGGGGGGGGCGGGGGTCTCAGACCCCTGTCGGCGATCACTGGGCGACTGGGGGTCGATGCGTCCCCCCCTGAGCAGATCCCCCTGGTGGTTTTCGGGTCTGAACTTGCAAGGGGCCCAGGGCCACACAAATGAGTCCATACAAATCCCAGGATTCCCCAATATTTTCCCATATGTTCTGGGTTCTCGTCTTCCCCCCCCATTTCCCACATTTTCCCATGTTTTCCTGGGAGTCGACGATTCATTGTGCCTGTGTGTTTCTTTCCCTCCTACCTCCTGAAACTCGGGCCTCCGGCGGCCGTTCGGGACGATCCCGGCACCCCCGGAACGCCCACGGCGAGGCGCAGCTGCCGGAAGGCACCCCGAGGCTGGAAGGCCGCCGAGAATCGACGAGAGCGCCCGAGAATCTCGAACCTCGATCCCGAACCTCGAGCCCTCCCGACCCTATCGTTGCCCCCCCCCCATGCCCTATCCCCCCCCCTCCCTCATCTAGGGGGAAAACAAACCTATCTCGCTTTTGACCACCCTCGCTTCCAAGAGATACCAAACGATGCCAAATTGCAGCCTGTACTGGCCAGGCCGCTTGACGAGGAGGCGCGTGGTATGACTTGGTTTTGCCTGGAAGCGAAAGCGGGGTAGGTATTTCACGCTCTGATTATCGTCGCCCCTGATCCTTCACGATCTCGTCCATGGACTTGCCGTGGCCGCCGCCGCTGTCCTCGGGCCGCGGGCGCCAGGCGGGCGGGGGCGCAGGGCCGCGGCCATCTGGGGGCCGGAGGGCAGGTCCAATCCAGATCCTCCTCCCCCTCCTGACCCTGGGATAGGGCGACGCAATCTATACATATCCACTGCTCCCTGGCCAGGCCCATCCTGAACACAGCAGCTGTGTATACGCCACGCCCTCCTGGTTTGGCCAGGAGGGCGTATACACAGCTCCTGGGTTCAGGATGGGCCTGGCCAGGGAGCAGTGGATATGTATAGACTGCGTCCCCCGATGGGAGGAGAAAAGGCCACATAAACATCAACTTTCGGCGCTCCGCGCGGATGTCTTGGATCCGCGCTGGACCCCCCCACCCTGGCGCGCGGAGCGCGCCAGGGGCGGCGCCGGAGGCGCCGCCGGGGGGCCCAGGCGCGGATCCAAGAAATCCGCGCGGAGCGCCAAAAGTTTATGTTTATATGCTTCCTTGAGGCTCCCTTCCCTGCATCCTCCCTGCCTCCTCCCTCCTGCCGCGCTGCCGGTCGCACACCCCTTCGCGCAGGCAGAGGCAAGAGGCGCCCAGGCATGCCTCTCTGCCACGCGGCACGAGGCGCGTCGGGCACACCACGCGGCAGAGAGGTTCCCTCTCGGAGGGTTCTGTTGCTCCCGTCGTGATTAAAAACCATATCCCGGAAACAATTTCGAGCGCCCAGAAAAGTGCCGAAAACAGTGTCGGACGAGTGTCTCCCAGGGCCCGACACGTGACAACCATCGAATTTGGGTGCTTTTTAGGGGGGGCTCGAAATTCTTTCTCGTGGTCAAGGCTAAAGTAGGTTGGAACATCATAATCAGAGGGACAACGACAGGTCGGGACTGGCATAGGGGGGATGCATCGACCTGGAATCGGCGATACATCGCCGATAGATCGGCGATAGGCCCCCGATAGTGAACCCGAACCTTCCTGGGCGGGTTGGGGCTATCAGATCGGCGATCTATGGGCGAAGGGGGGTCGATGCATCCCCCCCTACGTATGCCTATCCCCCCCTATCGTTGCCCCTGGCTCTCGCACACCCGCGGCAGGGGGCCACGGTGGCTCCGAGGCGCGGCCATTTTTGTTTCGGGCCGCTCGCCCCTCTCAGCCCACCCGCCGTCGGCCCGACGCGGGCGGCGGCGTTGTGCCGCCCTCTCGGCGTGGCCTCGGCTGGTGCGCAACGCCGCGTCCGCGCGCGCCGAGTCGCCGTGCGGCATGCACAGCGGCACGGCGATGGCGGTGCGGGCGCTCGTGCAGCCACCGCAGCCGTGGCCCGAGGCGATGTCCGCGGTGGACGCGGCCGCCCACGCTGCAGCGTGCCCTTAAGTCGGGCCTGTCCCCATACACGGGGATTGTCGACGAAAAGAAAAAAGTCCCTCCAAAATAATCAAAGAACTAGTCCAAAAATGGTCGGGGGACTATTTTTTGAGTATGTTGTTGACCTTTTTGTGGCATTTTTGGGGTAATGTGAATTTTTCGTCGAAAATCCCCCTGTAGGGGGACACGCCCGACATAGGGTGCCCCCGGATCGCACGGGCAGGCGCGACCGTGCCTCATTCGTGGCCCTGCTGGCGCCGGAGTGGGTGAGCGCCGTGGCGCTGCACCTCTGCAGCCTCAGCCTGGAGGCGGTGATTTGGGTACCGAGGAGCTGCATCGGCCTCTCCAGGGACCAGGCGATCATGGTGCTGCCAGTGTCAAGGGGCCAAAGAAAGAGGCACAAGTCCCAGGAGTCCTCATCTTTCCCCTATCTTCTGGCGTTTCGTCTCTCCCCCCACTTCCCATATGTTGCCACACCTTCCAAGGAAGCGACGCTTCTTTGTGTCTGTTTGTTTTGTTTTTCCGCCAGATGGTGTCTGCGATCCTGGATCCGAGCTGTCGGCGACGCGTTCGGCCCCGCCAGTGGCCCCGCCGCAGACCCTCGGTGCGCTGCGGGCGACGCTGCTGCGGGCTGCGGAGTCGTGCGGGCATGGGGCGCGGAGGCGGCGCCAAGCCGGCTTGCAGGAAGCGGACCTCTGGCACCTGGAGCTCGCCCAGAATCTCCGCTGGGTGCTCGTGCAGTGGCTTTCTGAGCACGCCCTGGGCAACATGGGACGCACAAGGACATGCTAGTACTAGCAACGAGGCGTGCGTCCGACCCGAGATGTAGTATACCCATCTTGTAGCATATCGTTTTCCGAGCGGTGTGGCCAGAAAGCGCCCGCCACGACGCATATACTATACGTAGGACTTCTCGGTGCGCGCGTACCCCTGAGGGGGTGGCGCACATAGAGTATTAGAATGTTGGGGTGACGCCGACAACAATGCGCCCGCGACCGCCAGCCATGCTCCCGATGACCGTGTCCCTCAGCGCGCCGGGGACGGCCTTGTTCGTGATGCTCGCGTCCCCCGTGCCACTGATGCTTCGAGTCGGGGATCGACTACATGATTGGTTTACCCCGAAACTTTATTATCTCGTATCTACGAACATGCATAGAGTGCTCGTAGACAGTTCCACGTACTTTTCGTAGATTCGACGCGAAAATCAATTCCGAGGTAAATCAATTCTGAAATCGATCCCCCACTCGAATGCTGTCGCCTCCGCGCGTGGCCTTCCTCGTGCAGCGGCCCCTGGTCCGGGCTCTTCTGGTCGCTGGCAGCCCATATCGTGCGCCTGGCACAGACGCTCCTGATCGTGGGCCTCCTCTGCGTGGGCCTCGTGATGCCGGTTGCCGTGAGCTTCTGATTGTGCAGCCCACGGGCCGGCCGCGATTTCAACGGGACGGCTTGCAGGGGACGCGGGGGCGCGTCAGTGGTGCTCATGCAATGTTGTCTCCCCTCTACCGTAAGCAGTTGCACAGTGCAGCGAATAAACAACTATCTCTCTGTTGCATGAAGTGGTGAGTACGGCAAGGGCCCCTCCCACGGCCGATTATCCCAGGGCCCACCTCAGACGCAACGATTGCCAGGAAAAGACGCCAGGCCGAGATAGAGCAGCAGATGTCTGCCGCGATTGCAGCGCAGGGCGGCCTCGAGGCAGCGCAGCGTCGTTTTGCCCAAGCTCGCCATGCTCAAAGGCTTTATTGAGAGAGGAAGGAGCTAGAGGAGCTGCAGAAGAGGAGGATGAAACGCATAGGACGAGCGTAAGTGCGCATGGGCTCGCACGCGTGCCAAGAGGCGTTCGGCAGCACTCCCCTCGCGGGACTTCGAGGCCGTTCGTCTGGGCTCAGGAGGCTCCTTGGGCTCTCTCTTCTTCGCGTACTGCGCGTGCGTGCTTGGGGATGCTGTTATGGAAGCGGTCCCTTTTCATCGCCGCCAAACCTGTATCCAGCTCGGGAGGTGATCTTTACAGATTGTCGAGCGCAGTTAATGACTACCTACCAGACCACCCCAACCCAACCCGAAGACCCGAATTTGACCCGAATTTCGGGTTGGGGGGGGTACGGATACCACGTGTTTTTTCAACGGTTCCCGACCCCCCCCAACTGGAAATCGAGGATAAATTTGGGCCTTCGGGTTGGGTTGGGGTGGTTTGGTGGATGGTGAGTTAAGCAGCATCCTTGCCAATGTTTTTTGCCGGCGACAGGCCTCTGATCGAGGGATCTCGATCCACCGAGCTCTCCCTCGGCACTGATTGCAGCCACGAGTGCTGAGATTGGCCAAAAGGGCGCTGCATTGACTGGGAGACTGGGATTCGGTTGACATGAATGGTGTGCGACGGGGTTGCTTATCTTTTGATGGAGGCTCACATCTTCAGCCACCCAGGCAGGGTGGACGGTTGGGGCCTAGGCGGTTTTATCCGCCGGGCAGGGCGGGCTTGAATGCTGCCGCAACTGTTCTTGTAAGCTTTGGACTCCATACTTGGTGGTCTCCCCGAAGGGCGGGGGGGGGGGGCACGCAGGGCTGCGGGGCTTGACGCTTCCTCCTGCAGAGTCGACCATTTCCTCCCTCCTCCCTCCTCTCTCCTCCCTCCTCCTCACCTCCTCCTCCTTCCTCCTCCTCCTCCTCCTCCTCCTCCTCCTCCTCCTTCTCCTCCTCCTCACTCCTCCCTCCTCCTCATCCTCCTCCATCCTCCCCTCCTCCTCCCTCCTCCCTCCTACCTCCTCCTCCTACCTCCTCCTCCCTCCTCCTCCTTCCTGTCTCCTCCCTTCCCCTCCGTCCATCCGTGATATCCAGGCGTTGCGTGTTTGTCTATCTGGGCGTTCTCGCCCAGCTTCGGGCCTCGGGACCAGGACGGCTCGATCCAGCTCGAAAACCTGCCGCGCAGAGGTGGGATCTGGGGCCCGGGCCGCGATTCTTGTCGCGACGATGTCTCAGGGCCTCCTCCTCCCCCCTCCTCCGTGCTATCTCCCCCCTTTTAACGTCCGTTCCTTCCCTCCTGCCTCATCCTGATCCTCCTCCCCCTCCTCCTCCTCCTCCTCCTCCTCCTCCTCCTCCTCCTCCTCCTCCTCCTCCTCCTCCTCCTCCTCCTCCTCCTCCTCCTCCTCCTCCTCCTCCTCCTCCTCCTCCTCCTCCTTCTCCATCCCCTCCTCCTCCTCCTCCTCCTCCCCTCCTCCTCCTCCTCCCACTCTCCCACCCACCCCCCATCCACCCCCTCCGACCTCCTCCCTCCCCTCATCCCTCCCCCTCCCTCCTCCCAGGAACGGGACAAACTCAGACAAGGATACATCTGGGATCTCTCAGACCCGGCGGTTCTGGAGGATGCATCGGGCGCAGCGGCCCGCGGCCCGATGTGTGCTGGTCCTAGCCCCAGAGGCATGGCTAGAATATGACACATGCATAATTATCGTCATGGCTCAAACAAGAAGTATGAGTGCATGTCCCCTCTCATATATTTCTTGTAGGGCGGACCCCTGCGACCCACCCCCTAAACAGGACCCCCCCCACTCGTGGTCCCAAGGGCCTTCTGGGTGCTGCTTGACAAGGTCCCCCTCGGGACTTCCAGGCGTTTGAGAATCCCTCTCAGCCCGTGCGAACGGCCCATCGGCGGTGCCAAGAGGCCCTCAAGTCGGCCCAAGAGGGCCCCGAGACGTCCCAGGAGCGTCCCCAAAGAAACCGAGATGGCCGCAAGAAGGCCCAAGACGCCCCAAGAGGACTTCAAAAGGACTCACAAAAAACAAACATCGTATCATTCCCTTCGGCAGAAGTACATGTGTCGCGTAAGCGCTTTGTCATTCGTAGCAGCGTCCAAGACCGCCTAAGAGGTTCCCGGCATCGCCCCCACGACGGTCCAAAAATGCCCCGAGACGTCCCAGGAGCTTTCCAAGAGTGACCTACCTAGCTGCAAGACGGCACCTGAACCCCCCAAAACGCCCCAAGAGGCGTCCAAAAGGACTCCCAAAAGTAAAACGGAACTCCCAATATTCCTGCAGGAGGAAGTACTTCATGGGAACGCACGCTTTGTTGGTCGTAGCGGCGCCCAAGACCGCCCAAGATGTCCCCGACCCCCAAGATGGCGCAAGAGGCCCCAAAGAGCGCACCCAGGCGGCCCAACATGGCCCACAGACTGCCCAAGAGAGCCCTGAGACTTCCCTAACCAGGCGCGTGACGGCCGCCAAGGGCCCACTATGGCTTCCAGCAGGCCCTCGCACTCCAAGGCGGCCCCAGGACGGTCCAAGAGGGCCCTGAGACGGTCCAAAAAGCCACCCGAAAGGACCTTCAAGAAAGTTCCTAGAAGCCATGTTCATGACGGCCCAAGAAGCCCCCCAGGATCGCCCCAATATGGCCAGTAGGCCTTCAAAGGGGGCATCCCGACGGCCCAAGAAGGCTGCCAGACGGCCTCAAAACCTCCGCGACTTCCGCAGACCTCCTGCCAGGGATGGCCTTTCGCCCCCACGGAGGCGGCAGAGGACCGAGGCTCGAGGCTCGACGATCGAACTGCTCCTATCGTCTTCCGTTATTTCGGAGCCTCCGGCGTTCTCGTGCACGCAGCTCCCCGTTTCGGGGATGGACAGACCCCCCTTTAGCACAACGTGGTTTAGGGAAAACGGCCTGAGGCCCAAACCTGGCGGGCGCGAGCCTGGAAAATAACGGCCACGGCGCCCTCTCGAGAACCGAAAACGGGCAATTCACGAATCGACGTGTCACTGTTGGGGGTTCTGGCCACCCCCGACCATTATCCGATTGCGCATAACGCGACGTGGTCTTTCGGTGGGAGTCGCAGGTCGGCGATGGCACGCGTCCGCGGACAGAGAGAAAACCAGCGCCGTGGAAAAAAGATGAGAAGGAGGGGTAGGATGTCAGATAGCGAGTCCTGGAAACCCTGAACCGACAAATGTTGACATCTCTTGGGGGGGGGGGACTTTTGCTTCCGCCGGCTTCCGCCGGCGGAGGACGCCTCGTTTCACTTCCGCCGCCTTCCGCCGACCTTCCGCCGCCTTCCGCCGCCTGCCGCCGAGGAAGAGACGCCGAGGTCCTCGATCCTCGAAGGCGAGGCCCTGTGTGGAACGCTCCAGATGAGAGGCGACGGCAGAGGTCGGCGGTGGACAAACCTCCCTTTAGCAAACCTCCCCTTAGTGAAAACAGCCTGGGGCCGAAACCGACGGACCTGGACCCGCAAAAATGACGGCCGCGACGCCCTCTCGCGAACCGAAAACGGCCAATTCCTTAATAGACGTTTCAGGGTAGGAGGTCTATCCACCCCCGAAGAGGGAAACAATTCGTGGACACTCCCCCGCACCCCAAAACTCAAAGCTGGCACGCGCGGGGACGGCTGCGGGGTCGAAGTGCCACTCATCCGGCCCGCCGCCAACCGTGGATCTTTGGGGGGGGGGCATGGACACCTGCATGCGGCGCGAGTGCTCGCTGACCTCTTCCGAGGCCTGCAGCGCACCTGGCCTGCCCCCTTCGCCCTCTGCGCGCCGAAGTTTGGACCTTGTGGGCGGCGGGCGACCAGCGGAAACAGCAACGGACGTCGTGTCGACCCTGGCGTTGGTCCCCGACACCGCGGGGATCGTTCCACCCTGGGCGATCGGCCGCTTCCGAAACGTCCGATCGTTCAACATCGGCCGGGTCTGGGTCGCCCACGGCGTTCAGCGTTGAGCGCTGGCGGCGGGGTCGCCGCCGGTCGACACGACGCGAACCGATCGTGCCCCGAGGGAAGAATTATGCTGCATCACCGGGGGGGCCTTGTCTGTCCCGTCGCGCTCCGCGTCGAATACGTGTCACATCCATGTCGGACTCGTCGAATTCCGTGTCGAACACATATCAAATCCGCGTCGAATCCACGCCACATCCGCTTCGAGTCCGCTTCGAGCTTGCGTCGGGCACAAGAAAAGACACCGAAGTTTAGGACAGAAAAGGTCCCCCGAAGATGCAACGTAACACCCAGTCCGAGGCTGTGGTAAGATGGCAAGAGTGCGAAGGAGCCAGTAGAAGGAGAAGCCCAGAACTGCGACGATATGATTTGTTGAATCCTGGCGTGTTTCCTCGATTTTGCCCCTCGAAGGCTGTCTTCAGGCCCATGGGACATCGAACACGGGCCCAAGATGGAAAAGAACTGCTCCAGGGGAAGGGGTCGGGACCTCTGGGAGGGAGTGACAGACGAGTTGGAGCTGGACTTGGAGCCCCGGGGCGAAATCCCACGAACACTTACCCAGACCGCTTCTGGGCTTGCCGGCTTCATGCCCTCTTGCTGTGAGCCCTGGGCCAACACCCCGAGGCAATGCGGCTTCGATGTTCCCGACGCGTCGTGGTGGCTTCGCCACGACACGTTCCCCCAAAGAGCAGACCGCCTCTAGGCGGGAGGGAGAGGATGAAGGGAGTGCTGGGGCTCGGCAACTTGCCTGAAATATTCCTGACGGGTCGGAGTTGCTTCGCCACAACACGCTCCCTCACGAGCAGACCCCCTCGAGGAGGGAGGGAGGGAACTTGCCATCGCTCGGGCGGCCATTTCCCGAATATACTCTTCGATTTCGCGCGTGCACTTGTCTCGGAAGCCCGGCAAGGGCTGCTAAATCAGTGGCTGCTAAAATCGACCTCCGGGAAGTTGTCTTCGTCCTTCCGGGAAGAAACCCGTTGACTGTTTCGCGTGCCGCGCCTCGTTCCGGGAAGTTGTTCTTTCCTTCCGGGAGGGCCGTTTTAGCAGCCACGGTTTTAGCAGCCCTCGCCCAGCTTTCGATTGTCGACGATGATCCAAGATGCCCCTGAAGGGTCTTCGCCGAGGAGGCAGGTGCACACGTCCGAGCGATGCCCAGGGAGAGGAGGGCGGGAGTGCGCGGGCGCTCCCCGCTGCTGGCCTCCACCGCCCCCCCAGGACTCCCGACGCCGCAGCGTTGCCGCCACCTGGCCCCCGCGGATCTCCCGACCGGGTGGCGACATCCGAGCCTTGCTGCAGGTCGGGCACGCCCTCCTCCTCTTTACCCTCCTCTGGCAAATCATCGTCCTCACCCCAATGCTCGTCATCTTCCGTCCCCTCCTCCTCCTCCTCCTCATCCTCCTCCTCCTCCTCCTCCTCCTCCTCCTCCTCCTCCTCCTCCGTCCTCCTCGGGAGCGGCCAAGAGGGGGGTGTCCGAGAGGGGGGGGGTGCAAATCATGACCGGCGGCATGTGCGCGGCCCAGCGGGGGGGGGCCAAGGACGTAATGAAATAAGAACAGGCGCCATGACATCTGGGGAGATATCATGGCCCCCGCCATGATATCCACCCCCCCTAGTCATCACCCCCCTCTTGGTCGCCCCCAACCTCCTACAGGCGGATCTTAGAAGAAACAAAACGAACAGCCAAACAATGGTCACAGAGAGTCAAAAGAGCGCGAGAGGTCGTCGCCAGACGGCTACTTTTTTGACTCTTCCTGAACATTCCTCCTGTAGAGGGACATGCCCGGCTTGAACCTTGCGCCCGCCAACCATCGAGTCTTCGGGGATCTACTGAACCGGGTCACTCCGAACCCGGGTCAGTCCGGCGTTGCAGGACTCTGCAGGAATTTGCAGGATCATGCCGGATCCTGCGCCCAAGCCCCCTCTGGCCCTGACGAATCCTGAAGACCCGGCGTTCTGACTGATCCCCGTTTGCATTGACCCCCGTCTCTTGAGCCTCGAGATTCTCCTGAATCGATGGGGACCGGGGGTAGCGTTCGGATTTCGCCACGTGTTCGACGAATTCCGAACCATACCCGCGCCGCCCAATCGAACTGCCTGAATCGTTTATCGGCGAGGGTAGAGTTCGGACTTCTCCGCCGATCGACCCCCTTCCAGCCCCTTTGATGTAGGTAAGCAACATGGCCGGAAGTTAGATCAACAATGCCTTGGCTGCTTCGGGCCTCCGGAGGCTGTCCCAGAGCATCTGCGCTCGGAGAATCGCACTGCATCGCCGATGAATCAGCGACGCTGGGATGGAGGCCGCCCAAACGGGGGCAACAGTCGAGGATCGAGGGTGCATGTGTTCGGGCTTCTTGGGGCCCTACTTGATCCACGCAAGTCTCCTTCGCGGGTTCCTCTGCGGAGAAAACTTGCGTGGGGCCTCAGGACCCTCCCGAGACGTTGGTGCTCGCCTGGTCAGGTGCGCCAGCGTCGTAGGGGGACCGTGATGGATGGTTCTTTTTTCGGCGAGCTCGGCAAAGCTGCGCGCGCAGCAGCCGCCGACGGATCTCTGACCGAAGCAGGTGGTCACGTCTCGTAGCCCTACTGAGCGAGGTCCGACCAGTATCCTGCTGCGGTCGAGCTCGACGGAAATAGCACATGCTCGCCCCAATTCGCGCAAGCACTCGCGCGCGCTCGCGCCTGCCGCTATCGCCACCCGCATGTCAACCTTACTGAGGCCTGCACCACGCAGAACCTCGGAAGCACCGCTCCAGTCCAGGCCAGTGCACGGACTGGTGCTGATCTTGCTCCGCCCAGCCCGACCCACCCCGCAGCGCCGAGCTTCGTGCTAATCGATCGACTGCGCCGATCCTGATCGACCGCTGGATCGGCCAGATCAGCGGCCTGACCGAGCCCCGATTGACGGGCCAGGGCCTTGCTGTCCAGACCTCGGGCGCCTGACTTTTCATGCGGGCGTTCGGAACTCTCGGCCCCACGCTTCCAACACGTTCGGGCGTTAACTAATTGGGGGCGATTGATGGGAGCGGGGGGAAGAGTGCACCTTTCGTCACAGAAGCTCTCCTCCCCCCCATTGCGGCCAGACCTAAGACATAATCACATCATTGAAAAACATGAGACCCTCCGCCAGCCAAACTGAAGAACATTCGAGGCCCCCCCCCCTGGATGCACAGGAGCATGCAAAACAAACACGGAGAGCGTTATGAGTACCCTCCCCGAACCGATCGCGATCTTATCCCTCGGTCCGACCGTGAATGTCCCCTCATTGGAGAAACCAAAAGGTGCCGATATCGCTCCTCCCTGGACCTCTCCCGCTGTGCGTCCTGACCAGGATTTCGAGGCGCATCCAGCGGTGGCGACGAGGGCCTCCCATGAGTCCCAAAAAGGGGAAAATGGGCGAAGGGCAGCGAGTACCTGTTCCCCCCCTGACTCCCCTGACCTCCCAGGAGGGCTGAAACATAGCACCAGGACCTTGACGTCTAAATTCTGGTCGGGGCTTCAGGCAATCAGGATAGGCCTACAGGTCTGGAGAGCCATTCTCTAGCGCTCTGGAAGGTCAGGGCCCTTGCCCCTTACCTTGAGCATCGTTTAACCGATCCCTCCCCCCACTGGCGTGGCCTGGGCCCCACTGGCCGATTTGCCCCCGAGATGGGGATATGGGCGGCTCCCTTCGGGCTCCGAGGGGCATACATCCCCAACTGGGGTGGTGGGACGGTGGGGATCGGGGTGGGGATGGGCCTGGGGATGGGCATGGGTCAAACGATGCGTGATCGGGGAGGGGGATGGGAGTGGGGATAGGGAGATGGGGATGGGCACGGGCATCGGGATGGGCCCTTGCCCCTTACCTTGAGCATCGTTTCACCGATCCCTCCCCCCACTGGCGTGCCTTCTCCTCCTCCGAGGGGCAGGCCCGCGGAAGGCCCCTCCCCGACACGAGCATATCCAGCCCTGGGAGGCCGGGCGCCGAGGGCCGCGCAGGGCGATCCCCAGCAGCACGCCCTGCGCCTGCCCCAGCCGCCGCTCCGCCAGGAAGAGGCTGCTGAGGTCCTCGCGGCGGGCCCCGCCCCCCCCAATTGCGGGGGCGATGCAGCGGAGGGCAGTGGTGAGGCCGGAGGCCAGGACGAGGCCAACATCGGGCGAAGACAAAATCGAGAACCTCCTCCTCCTCCTCCTCCTCCTCCTCCTCCTGCTCCTCCTCCTCCTCCTCCTCCTCCTCTCCTCCTCTCCTCCTCCCTCCCCCACTCGCCCACCGCCACAGCTTCTTCTCCTCCTCCGCCCCCTCCTGAGACGAACCTCTGAGATCCGGCCGCTCTGGAGGGCGTCTCCGGCGCCGCGGCCCTCTCAGGAGCGTCCCCGGAGCGCTCCGGGAGCGCCGCGGCACGCCCCGGACGAGGCTCCTCCGCGCCCCGGCCCGGTCCGAAGTGGGCTCCGAGGACCACCCACGGGCGCAACCGACCTGTTCGGTCATGTTGAAGATGATGCACCACAAGGCGCGTCCAGCCAAAAGTTTGGACACGAGCGAATGGCTGGACTCTGCGCCTCGTCGTCGGCTTCATCGGCAAGGCGTTGAACCACCTCGGCGTCCCCCTTTTTGGAGGCCGTGCAGGAGCGCCTGCACGGGAGGCCACGCCTCTTCGCACCCTCGCGCCGCCGCCCCACAGGAGGACACCGCGGCAGCGCGAGCCGAGGAGCGCGCCCTGATGCCGTGGGGGGCCTGACAAGCAGCCTCGTTGGAGGCACGGGGCCCCCTCTTCTAAACCACCATCGACGGTGGAGAAACCTCCCTTTAGTAAGCCTCCCCTCAGTGAAAAGCGCCTGGGACCGAAACCGACGGACCTGGACCCACAAAAATGACGGCCGCGACGCCCCTCTCGCGAACCGAAAACGGCCAATTCCTGAATCGACGTGTCAGGGTAGGAGGCCTGTCCAACCCCGACACCATCCTTACTGGAGTCCCTGGGGGCACACCCTATGGGACGGCAGCAGCACAATTCATCTACATCGATCCCGTCCAAGCCTCTCCTGGCTTAGCCAAGCATGGGATTCGTACGCACCGATTATGGACCGGGATGTTATACCCAGCCAAGAGCGGTGTAGTTATAAGAATATCCGCCACCATGCCTGCACTGAGTGGGCGTATTAGAGCCTGGGCCTGCACGGGAACGGAAAGAGCGGTACGAGAAGCTTGCCCGAGATGGCTCATGGTACCGTTCAGTCTTGGGAGCCTTGGTGTTAAGAGCTTGCCACGTCACTATGAGATCTTGGGAGCCTTGGTGATAAAAGCGTTCCTCGCCATCGCTCGTATTGGGAGCTCTGGCGTCCAGAGCTTCTCACGCCATCGGGAGCTGCTGGGAGGTTCCGCGCTCGAAGCTCTTTGCGCCGACGGCCCGCCCAAACACGTGGTTTCCGCCACCTGGAGCTCTTGGGAGCCTTGGCGTCAAAGCCGAGTCCGCCGCTGGGCTGTGTGGGGGCGGGAGACTTTGCGTCAGCGCCGTGTCCGTCGCTGTGCCGTCGTGCGGCCCGAGGGCTCACGCCCCCGTCCGTGCTTGGAGCCTTGGCCTTGGAGTCGGTTGCACGGCAACACGAGCAGCCAACAGCCACCCTGCGATCATCAGTGTTTGCGTATGTGTGTGTGTGTGTGTGTATTAGCTGCGTATGTGTGCACGTATGGGTCTCTCTCGCTCTCGCTCTCGCTCTCTCTCTCTCTCTCTCTCTTGTTGTTTTCCCCCCCCCCACCCCCCTCTCTCTCTCTCCTTTTTTTTTTTTTTTCTCTCTCTCTCTCTCTCTCTTTCTTTCTCTCTCTCTCTCTCTCTTTACACATACATATATCTATAGATGTATACACACATGTATGTTTGCAGGTGTATGCATGCATTTAGGTCGTTAGGTCGGAGGTGAGGGGGTGAGATCGAAGTGGAACGGCGAGCCCCCCTACCGGGAAATCGGTTTCGGTTTCGTGTTCGTGCGTGCCGTGCGGGCGAGGCGAAGCTGCGTGGGCGGGCGAGAGAAAGTCTCCTGTGGCTGAGGCGCGGCCGGACCAAATGACTCCCTTCCGGGCGGCGGGGCCCCGCGGTGTCCCGCCGGTGTCCCGCGGTGTCCTCCTGTGGCTGAGGCGCGGCCGGACCAAATGTTTCCCATCCGGGCGCGGGGCCCCGCGGTGTCCCGCCGGTGTCCCGCGGTGTCCCGCGGTGTCCCGCGGTGTCCCGCGGTGTCCCGCGGTGTGCCGCTGGTGTCCCGCGGTGTCCCGCGAGGATGATGATGATGATGATGATGATGATGATGATGATGATGATGATGATGATGATGATGATGATGATGAGATGATGATGATGATAATGAGATGATGATGATGATGCTGTCCCGATGGAGATGATGATGTTGATGATGGTGTCGATGATTATGATAGTGTCCCGATGATGAGGATGATGATGCTAATGATGATTAATTATGTTGATGATGATGACGATGATGGTGCCCCGATGATGATGATGATGATGATGATGATGATGATGATGATTCCGATGATGTTGGTGATGATGAAGTTGATGGAAATGGTGTCCCAGCAATAATGATGTTGATGATGATGATGTTGATGATGATTGTGGTCTCCCGATGATGATGCTGCTGATGATGATGGTGATGATGCTGATGGTGATGCTGGTGGTGTCCCGATGATGATAATAATGATAATGACGACGTTGATGATGCTGTTGCTCATGATGATGATGGTGCCCCAATGATGATGTTGTTGTTGTTGATGATGATGATGATGATGTCGATGATGATGATGCGATGATCATGATGATGGTGTCCCGAGGATGATGACGATGTTGATGATAATGTTGATGATGAGAACGATGGTGATCATGATGGTGTCCCGATTATGATGATGATTCTGATGATGCTGCTGCTGATGATGACGATGACTGTGTCCCGATGATGATGATGATGTTGTTGATGAGATGATGATGGTGATGATGATGATGATGATGATGATATTGTCCCGATGATGATGCTGACGTTGATGATGTTGTTTATGATGATGATGATGACGGTGCCCTCATGATGATGACGATGTTGGTGATGATGTTGATGTTGATGATGTTGATGTTGATGATGATGATGATGATGATGATGATGATGATGATGATGATGATGACGTTGATTGTGAGAGCGATTGTGATATCGATAGTGAGATCGATATTGAGACCGAATGTGAGATCGATTGTGTGATCGATTGTGAGATCGATTGTGAGATCAATTGTGAGATCGATCGAATGAGATAGATCGAGTGAGATCGATTGTGAGATCGATCGAGTGAGATCGATCGAGCGAGACCGATAGTGAGATCGATAGTGAGATCGATAGTGAGACCGATCGAGTGAGACGTTGGTTCCCCCCCCCCCCCACCTCCTTATCACCCGAAGGGTGGTCGTATAGGTATGTAAGTATGGCGGCACACAGGCTGCCTTCGGTAGTCCCCCATGTTGTTTCAAGGGGTCTTGGGGCTCTTGCAGTCGTTTGGCCAAGCAATTCCACGTAAACTGGTCTCTACAAGACTTCGACCGCCGTGCTACAAACAAAATCCTTACAAATGTGTGTCTACATCCCTCTAAGAAGCGCTTTTCGAAGAGATTCCCTGCCTCCCGGCGCACCGCGGTCGGGGAGACGCAAGACTCGGGTTCGGGGGACTCTGGTTGGCCTGACCGGGCCTTCAGGAAACTGACGAGACCCAGTCCGAAACTTGACGCGGGCTCCCGCGGCGCACGTCCCACGCACACGGGATGGTCAAAATGCTGAAACAGCTCCTCAGAACGCTTCGGCAAACCCGAGTCCCGGCGAATTCGAGTCTTTCTAGTGACAAAGACACAAGCAGGAACTTTTGGCGCCCCGCGCGGGATTCTTGGACCCGCGCTGGGGCCCCAGCGCGGATCCAAGAAATCCGCGCGAAGCGCCAACAGTTTGTGCTGATGCAGTTTTTCTTTCGGGGAAACTTGAAAAATAGTCACCACATCAAAAATACTCAAAAGTGCACGCACAATCGCCACCCGACGAATCTTCGACTATTCTTGAATCTTCCTCCTGAAGCGGGACCTGCCCGACTAAACTTTACGTCTCCCCAACGGGGGGGTGGGCTCCTCCGCGCACGACGGGCCCGTCGTCGGCGCCGCCGCGCTGCTGGACGGCGCCTCGGGCCGGCAAGCCAAGGGAACAAAACTCCGCCAGGGGCTCTCTGGGGGAGCCACACGACCGCGGGCGGCGGGCTCGCGGCGGAGGGGGAGGGGTCCAAGAGGGGGACTCGAGAGGCCCCTGCCTCTTGGTGTTCGTCTTATTCCTCCTCCTCCTCCTCCTCCTCCTCCTCCTCCTCGTCAGCCTTCCCCTCCCTCCCCTCCTCCCTCCCTCCTCCCTCCTCCTCCTCCTCCTCCTCTCCTCCTCCTCCTCCTCCTCCTCCTTTCGGTTTTCCTGTGTGGGGCTCTTGTTCTCCAGAACGGCCTCTCTTCCTCCTCCTTCTCCTCCTCATCCCCCATGATCAACGTACCAGAAATAGTGTTGCGGAAAGATTCAGGAATTTGGGGGTGCAACAGCTACGTTGGTTCGCGGCGTTGAAGTCGCAAGATGGGGGTTTCTGGCACGATTCCTGATCGTCAAAATGCAACGATCAGGTTGATCCGTGGCGTTAGAATCCCGAGAACAATGTTTTGGCATGCTTCAGGGTCTTCACACGGCTGTCTTCCAACGAGGCAATTCCCTCTGTGGGAATGAACCGTTGGAGGGGCCTTTGAAGAGGGAATTTGGAGGGAGGGTTTATTCCAAGATCGTTGATGACCCTTGGGTTTACTCTGATCCTCCCCTCCTCCTCCTCCTCCTCCTCCTCCTCCTCCTCCTCCTCCTCCTCCTCCTCCTCCTCCTCTGTACGGGCTGGAGCCATGTATGCTTCCCCCCCTGGCTGTCCCGTCTCACCGAGAAGCTCTCGTGGGCTGCCGAGGCGACCCGACCCGCTCCGGCTCCTTTCTCCTCCCCTCGGCGCGCTCGCGCCTCACCGTCTTTCCCCTCTCTCCACCGCCGCACCCCCGCCGCGGCGGGGGGGTGGGATGGACAGGCCACGTGCGCCCCGCGCCACAGGGTCTGGAAGCTGTTGCAACTCAAACCGAGGATCGGCCACGGGTATCACCGCCGCCCGCATCAGATCAAAGAGTCCCCCGAGGTCTGGGGCCTCCTGGACCCATTCCTTCACGAACGCCCCCTGCCGTAGGTGCGCTCACGCCACAGCTGACGTCCTACCCCTCCCACCCGTCCCTTCCCATTGCGGCGCGTTTTTCTCTGGCAGCGGGCACGTGTTATGGCGGACCTGGAACTCCAAACAAGACCCCATCGTGTTGTGCGCAATCGGAGAAGAGGAGCTGCGTACATACGAGGACGGGGAGGAGGAGGAGGAGGAGGAGGAGAAGGAGGAGGAGGAGGTGGCGGATGAGCGGGGGGGATGGAGGAGCATGAATAAGATAATCTACATCTTCGGTGCAACCTGGCCAAGGACTAGGACAATACCTGCGAATCTGAGCTCTTCGAGGACCACTCCGTTGCCACTGCGAACCTGGGGGGGAGCTCTTCAAGGACCTCTCCATTGCCCTTGGCATGGGAGGGAAGCGTTCCCTCTCAGACTCAACTCCCAGACCCCCGACGTCGTGATTTTTTCACAACGTCGACCCCCAAAGGTCTGGACCCCTTCCCCGGGACCGCTTTTCGTGCTGAATCATTTTGACGGTCCGGGGGCCCGGCGAGGGCCCCCTGAGGCCGATAATAGCGAAAAACCTCCCGTTGTGTTTTTTCACCGCGCGAGGGGGTCTGGGTTTGCGTTTGTCTTGAGATGGGCACTACTTGGATCCATACCCACCTGTGGCCGCCAACGGTGGCACAGGCAAGCGCAGCTGGGTCGACACCCTCGGGTGGGGGATGGCCGGAGGCCAGCGGGCAGCAAGAGAAGGAAGGAAGAGGGACTGGCCGACCCAGCAGCCGCTTCCAATCCTCGAGTAGGGGATCGACTACAAAATTGATTGGCCCCAAAATCGATGTCCTCGCCGAATCTACAAAACAAACACGCACAGTGTTCGAATCACGACGAGCTGTGTGCGCAAGTATTGAAGCTACAGCGAGAGCATAAATGTTGGGGTATATGAATTTTGTAATCGATCCCTTGCTCGACATACCTCCCGCCCTGCGGCAATCCAGCCCGGATGCGCCCTGTGGCTGTCCCCTGGCCAGCCGATCCTTCGGCCGAGGGAGAAGCCAGGGAGGACCCGCGCAGCAGGGCCTCACAAACAAGCGGGCCAACGTTGCACATTCGTGGTGGAACTCGCCGAGCTGCTCAACAAGCCGCGAGTGCGGAAACGCCCGTTCTGAATGGAGCCGACACCCGTGTAACTGGTGTACCATCTCAAGCTTCTGGTCATCACACTTGTATTCTCACGCGAGCCCCCTTTTTTTAGAAACAACGATCCGTGCTCGTAGGTGTTGCATCAATGGCGTACTCTGGACATAAGCGCCAACAGAGTCTACAGCAAGAGACCCATGTGAGAATGGGGCGCGTTCCATCTTGGTAGCTGTTGACACTTTCAAGCGAATGCATGCCGCCCTGATGCGAGAGCCATATGTTTAAAAGGGCCACCCGTCAGCCTTGCAAATATTGCCAACTTTAGAAACCAATGCGCGCGGCAGAAAAAAAAACAACACAACGCAAAAACAGGCCGACCTCCAACTTGGTAGCTGCTAGGAGCTTGTGGGAGGCATGGGATACAAAGGTTTGGTGATGAGGAAGAAGGGCAGAGGAGGACCAGCAAGAGGCGGATGACCCGACGCTCCCGCGACCCGCGGCAGCCCCCTCCGTATGGTGGCGCCCTGCGGAGAGGGCTCGGGGACGCACTGACCTGGGTCAATCCACCCCTGGGTCAGTCAGGCCTGTCAAGATCCTGCAGGATCCTGCAGGATCCTACGCGCTAGCCCGGGTCAGGGCCCCCCTGGCTCTGCAGGATCCTGGAAGATCTGGCGCTCTGACTGAACTCCGTTCGCACTGGCCCACGCCCCTTGAGCCCCGCGAGGGCCGTCCTCGGCCGTCTCTGGAGCCTCCCGGCGCCACGAGCGGAGCCTTCTTCCCCCCCCCCCGCTCGCAGGCTGGGCGAGTGCCTCGCGCCCATCTGCGGTCGTTCTGCAGCCCCTAGGGTTAAGTCGGGCCTGTCCCCCTGCAGGGGGATTTTCGACGAAAAATAAAAAAAAATAGCCCAAACAATACTCAAACAATACTCCAAGAAATAGTCGGGGGACTATCTTTTGAGCACTTGTTTGTGACCTTTTTGGGGGTATTTTGGGGGAGATGTTTTGCTTTTTCGTCGAAGATCCCCCTGTAGGGGGACACGCCCGACATATAACCCCGAGGGTCGCGGGAGGAACGCGGGCCCTGCTGCCCCAAGGGCGCTCGAGCCGCACAGGCGCGCCGAAAAGCGAGCCTCGACGGAGGCCCGCCGCCCTCGGCTCCGTGGGGCCTCTCCCGGGTGCCGGGCCTCCGCGCCCGCAGGGTTCTGTCGGGCGTGCCCCCCCCTACAGGGGGATGTTCGACGAAAACATGCAAATACCCCTAAAGAATACCCCAAAAAGGTCACAACAAATACTCAAAAAGATAGTCCCCCGACTATTCTGGGACTATTTTGGTTTTATTACGATTTTGGGGGTATGTTCTATTTGTCGTCGAACATCCCCGAGTGGGGGGACAGGCCCGACTTAAGCGTAGCGGAGGAGAAGAAGGCGGGGACCCTGGCCAGGAAGGCACGCGAGCACGCCGTGCCGATCTCGGCCGCCGCCGCCCTCGGCCGGCGCCACTTCGGGGAGGCCCCGCGGGCATCGGCGAGCAAGTCGTGCCGATCTCGGTCACCGCCGCTCTTGGCCATCGTGCCGATCTCGGTCGCCGTCGCCAGACTTGGCCAGCGCCACTCCGTGGACGCCCCGCGTGCATCGGCGACGGCCGACCTCGGCCAGCGCCACTTCGGGGATGCCCCGCGGGGATCGGCGAGCACGTCGTGCCGATCTCGGTCGCCGCCGCTCTTCAACGGGCGAAGAACGGTATAACATAAACTATTTCGCTGTCGGGGGCGCCTGTCCCTGGGCGGCTGGAAAGTTTATACCCTTACTGTGGCACCGTAGGGGTATAAACTTTCCAGCCGCCCAGGGACAGGCCCCCCGACAGCGAAAAAGTTTATGTTATACCGTTCTTCGCTCGCTGAGATCTTGGCCATCGTGCCGATCTCGGTCGCCGTCGCCAGACTTGGCCAGCGCCACTCCGTGGACGCCCCGCGTGCATCGGCGACGGCCGACCTCGGCCAGCGCCACTTCGGGGATGCCCCGCAGGGATCGGCGAGCACGTCGTGCCGATCTCGGTCGCCGCCGCTCTTCAACGGGCGAAGAACGGTATAACATAAACTGTTTCGCTGTCGGGGGCGCCTGTCCCTGGGCGGCTGGAAAGTTTATACCCTTACTGTGGCACCGTAGGGGTATAAACTTTCCAGCCGCCCAGGGACAGGCGCCCCCGACAGCGAAACAGTTTATGTTATACCGTTCTTCGCTCGCTGAGATCTTGGCCATCGTGCCGATCTCGGTCGCCGTCGCCAGACTTGGCCAGCGCCACTCCGTGGGCGCCCCGCGTGCATCGGCGACGGCCGACCTCGGCCAGCGCCACTTCGGGGATGCCCCGCAGGGATCGGCGAGCACGTCGTGCCGATCTCGGTCGCCGCCGCTCTTCAACGGGCGAAGAACGGTATACTAAACTGTTTCGGCTGTCGGGGCGCCTGTCCCTGGGCGGCTGGAAAGTTTATACCCCTACTGTGCCACCGTAAGGGTATAAACTTTCCAGGCGCCCTGGGACAGGCGCCCCCGGCAGCGAAAAAGTTTATGTTATACCGTTCTTCGCTCGCTGAGATCTTGGCCATCGTGCCGATCTCGGTCGCCGTCGCCAGACTTGGCCAGCGCCACTCCGTGGGCGCCCCGCGTGCATCGGCGACGGCCGACCTCGGCCAGCGCCACTTCGGGGATGCCCCGCAGGGATCGGCGAGCACGTCGTGCCGATCTCGGTCGCCGCCGCTCTTCAACGGGCGAAGAAAACGTAATAACCTAACTGTTTCGGCTGTCGGGGGCGCCTGTCCCTGGGCGGCTGTAACAAATTTTATACCCTTACTGTGGCACCGTAGGGGTATAAACTTTCCAGCCGCCCAGGGACAGGCGCCCCCGACAGCGAAAACGTTTATGTCATACCGTTCTTCGCTCGCTGAGATCTTGGCCATCGTGCCGATCTCGGTCGCCGTCGCCAGACTTGGCCAGCGCCACTCCGCGGGCGCCCCGCGTGCATCGGCGACGGCCGACCTCGGCCAGCGCCACTTCGGGGATGCCCCGCAGGGATCGGCGAGCACGTCGTGCCGATCTCGGTCGCCGCCGCTCTTCAACGGGCGAAGAACGGTATAACATAAACTTTTTCGCTGTCGGGGGCGCCTGTCCCTGGGCGGCTGGAAAGTTTATACCCTTACTGTGGCA